GTCGTGTTTCCATTATTGGCCGCTCGTTTATACCAGATGATCGATTCCTTTTCATTATTTTCAATTCCAATACCATACTCATAACAATACCCTAAATAAAATTGTCCGATAATACTTTCATTTTTCACAGAACGTTGATATTGCATACCGTACCAAATCCATCATTATAACATTTCGCAAGATAAACTTGAGCTATGGAATAATTTTCTTCCGATGCTTTGAAAAATAATTCGAATGATTTGATACTGTTTTCTTTTATATCAATACTATAATAGTAAAATAATCCAAGTAGCCAAACGTATTGTACTTTGATTTGATTTTTTATAAGCCAATTGATAAGTTCATCCGTATTTTGATTGAATTGTAATACCTGTTGATTAATGAGATGTTTGATCTGATCAAAAGTAATACCTTCATTATGCTTCTCGATTAGAAGTTGGATTAACTTATCAATCGTTGCGTTGTTAACAAATGTTGATTCAAAAGAATCTTTTGATAAATCTATAGAAAATAATTTACGGTTTTCACGATCTATTACATTTAGGTTAACAGATTCTTGATTTTGTAAATTTAAATTGGTTTCATATGTAGCAATATCTAATTCATTTATATTGGAATCATTAGTATTTGCAGTCAATCCTGAACTTGATTTGTACTTTTTTAATAAAAATTTTTTCTTTTCCCTTTGGTTAGCATGATCAACACCTTGATTAGGAAAAATCATTGATTTAAGAGTTGACTTAACCTCTTGCATATCCGGACGATCACACGGCTCATCCGCCCAGCATTCTAATCGATTCAAAAGTAAGTGAGACTTTAAATATCTTAAGTTGACCACTTTGATTCAAAGATGATTTTACGGTACCTCTGTATAAATCGCTATACTCAATTGGAGTCCCATCAATGATATTTTCTCTCAACCGATTTTGTAATTTCGAGGGTAAAATCGCCACCTCTTCAGCGTAGAAAGGTCTATATCCGCTTGAGATTTGCCACAACAAAATTCCAACACTGTATACATCAGATTTCTTATTTAATTTGTACCTTGAATTACCGAAACTTTTTGGATCTATGTATGGTATCACACCAAGTAGTTTTGTCGCATTACTTGATTTTTCATCAATTTTTTTGGATAGACCAAAATCCGCAATTTTAATATTTTTCTGATGCACGAGTATATTATTTGCATGCTTTTTAAATAAATCAATAAAATAAATAAAACAAATTAATTCATACTAATTAATTTAAAATCACGGGGAATTAGGATAAGAATTTACCAAATCACGATGAATAATATCGCAATCGTGTATAAATGCTACAGCACTTGCGAGTTGATATGCCAACTGATTTTTGTCGCTCCAGTGGAGTTCATTGAAATGATCATCCAAATAGGTATCTATTGTACCACTATCGGCATATTCCAAAACCAAAGAGTACTTTCTTATTTGACGACTTGCATCTATGTGAAAAGGAGAAAGCGTGAAAGGTTATTTGTAAAAAAAAAAATTATAAAAAGTTTTTATTTAATATTTACCGGTTTCTTCCTTTGTGATCCCATAAACTCGTATAATATTTTCATGAAAGTCAACTTTTCGATGTAATTTTAACTTGATACAAATTTAAAAAAATCAATTTACCCCTTTTTTATTTTTATTTTTTTTTTGTTAAAAAAGATTGTAAATGTAGTACCTCGTTGACAACCTCTTTCAGAGTTACTTTATCATGATTAAAAGATTTTAAAGCAAAGAAACGATCAGTATTTTTCCAATTTGCACGCACGATGTTCCCAAAGGAACCACTTCCGATTGGTTGTTTATTTTTGAAGTCTGAATATTCGTAAAAGTTGAAATATTCTTCAGTAACTATTTTTTCTAACCAATCGATATAAATGGTTGAATCGCTAACCTCTGCATCATTTAACATTTTTAAATTTACAGCAAAGGGAATCCCTTATTTTTCTTCCTTTTTGAACTATTTATAAAATTGAAATCTCGCGTGTAACTGTAACCTAAGAATTTAAATTAATTAAAATAATGAGCCTTTACATGCGATATGGTTGGTCTAATACATTCATTGATATGATTATTTGTTCAACAGATTGTTCCCTTAAACTTAAAATTTGCCAACCCTAAAATTCAGAAAGTTTTAGATAGTAAATTATTTGGATTAGTGCGAAAGGAATTGGTGTATTGATTGATATTCATTGATCTATAACACATTGATCACATTGATAACTTTAAGCAGGCTTGGCACATACGACAAGGAACTGAAGTCAATTACAGGGACTCCTTAACAACACTTGAGAAGAATTTCATTTAAACGAATGTTATCAATTAGTGGGGGGGGGGGGGGGTTGATATTTATCTTCGACCGATTATTTAGCATAATTTGGTATTACACTCTACATAAATCACGAGATGATCGGCTAATCAGATTTCGTGCAGCAACTAAGCCACCGTTATTTGATTTTTTGATTTAAATCATTAAATTAAAATTATTAAAATTGCAATTTGATCATATTTCCTCTTACTATAAAAAAATGACTCATAAAATACTTATGTTTCTTCAAAAGTTGTCTTCGTCAGAGAAGCTTCAATTACCAAAGGAGCCGTTAGACGAAAGCTGGTGAGTAGGCATTGCACTAGTTTGTATTGAAGCTCGCCCAGTGTTGACTCGTGTGAATTGCAGTCTTCCTTGTCCGATTGCCTCAAATATATCCCTGCAACAATACAATTCTTTCGTTGAAAGCAAAGAGATAAGCGGATACAAGCTTGATTATAAAAAGGGCACCGTATATATGGTTGAAATGTGTTCGACTGAACATGAAGCAGTTGTTGAGATTATTGGAGACGCCTTCCGTGATCTATGTCCTCGTGCCGCTTATGGCAGCCGAAATAATGCTCCAATACAAATTCTTGGGCAGCCACGTAAGGGAATTTCTTCCAGCTTACTTATTCTCTCACCTCTTTTTGTGTTCTAATATTTATCATTTCCTTTCCAAAGTTCATGACGCGCCAGATGGAACTCGCAGAGCACCAGATCTTGCTGTTTATCCACATCCTACTTTCGTTCCGGACCCTCCCGTCCCGCACCCTGGTCCTCCGCCCGGCGACAGAAGGGTACTTTGTCATGTATTTCGTGATACCCCAAATACTAATACTTATATGGTTGATATAGGGAAACCCTTATGCGAGAGTAATGCTTGAAGTAGCTGTGACCCAAAGTTACTCTGACCTGAAGGACAAGTGTAGGCTTTGGAAACGACAGTCGTACGTACGATCCGTACTAGGTATAAAACTCTACAATGCATTGGCTACACGCGACGCAGCAGGACGCAGAGAGCGGGCTATGAAGGTATGTCTCATTGTCTAATAATTCTTAATTATTATATTACTTTATATTTAAATTGTTAAATATTAGGCCACACTTTGGCGACAAGGAGTCGCAAAACAGAAGGTAAGATTGAATGTTGAGAAAGAAAATTTCCTATTCTTTACTTTGTGATGCTCAAAGTCCGGTTCTTTATATGATAGTGGCATTTTGGGACTGTAGATAAAAACGGTAATCATTTTCCTCCTGACACAAATGTCTGTAATACTGCGAACGACCCAAACTACATCATTAATATCCCGGTTAGCGACATATTTTATGATCCACCAGTTCCTGCAACTGGATATACACCTTTAACTGGTCCTCCTCTAGCATTGTATAATGCTATTATTGCAATTGATCTATACGAAGTTCAGCAGGCGGTTTTAATGAAACAGGAAAAGTAAAGTCAAAAGACCATATCCATTTTGAAATTTTCACTAATTAAATTATATTTTAATAGACAAATTGTATTTTGGCATTGTAATTATTTTATTAGTAATTTATAATAAATATCAAATTAATATAATTAATTTTAATATCATCAAAATTAATTAGCTTTAAAGTATAATTTAGATGATTAGAAATATGATCAATTAGTTATAAATGGTATCAAATAAGTCTAAATTCAGCTCTGATTTTTAGCTGATTTGAATTATTTAGATCAATGAAAGAGACATAGATTTTCTTTTATTATAAATTGAATATATGATTAGAGAAGTAACAAAAGTTTAAAAAATTTAACTTTTTACAGTTTTTCATATTAGAAAAAAATGGTTTAAAAATCATTTTCTAAAGATTTAGCAAGAATAAGGTTATTTACTTATTGTAAATAAATTAATATAAAAACAAATTGTTAACTTTATTACTTCTCAAAAGTATTCATTATCTATTAAAATATCAAACTGATATAAAAAAAAATCTTGACTTTTAACAATTTGTATACTTTAAATTAATAGATTAATATTAAAAGTTAAAAGAAATCTTAGTAAAAAACATAAAAAATGTTAATATAATTTTGAAAAAAATATAAAATTTAGATTGTTAAAGGCTAATTAAAAATAATAAGATTAGATAAATTAAAATTCAAAATTTTTAATTCTAATAAAAAGCAATATTATTAAAGATATTTTAAAAAATCAATAAAAGTTTATCATATTAAACCTATAGTAAATTTAGAGACAGGTTATTCATAATATAGGATGTTTTATATATGATATTAAAAACTATTATAAAATTAATAGCATAATGAATGTTAAATTATACTAATAAATTCTTTATGAAGATTTAATGAATATTATTATTATACTTTAATATAAATTGATAAACTACTAATTAAATTATATTTAATAGACAAATTATATTTTAATAGATATAATTATTTTATTAATAATTTATAATAAATGTTGAATTAATGTAATTAATTTTGATATGATCTGAATTAATTAGCGTCAAAATATAATTATTAGAATATATGTTTTTACTATTAAAGATATTATATAAAATCTAAAATATATAACAAATTTAATAAAATAATAGTTTAAGAAAAATAAGGTAATAGTCCTAGATTATCTACTTCAATTTTCAAATTTGAACTTTATAAAATGAAATTAATCGTTATTTTTGCTAAACAAATTTTAAAAAAAAGAATTTTTAGAATAAAATATAGCAGGTTTAAAAAAAAATTGATATTAATGTAATTCAATCTATACCAAAACACTAGTCAAAATAGTCCAAATCAGCTAAAAATCATATAGCCAATTTTAGATTGATTTTGATACTATTTACAGCCAATTTGCCATATTTTCTGATCAGTACAAATAGGTGCTAATTAATGCTGATCGATCCCAATCAGACATGGTTATTCAGAACTTAAATTCAATCATAAATTAGCCTAAAATTGGTTTCAATTCAGCAACAATTCAGACGCTGATAGACGCTGATTGACTCCAATCGGACATAACCATTCAGCATCAATTCAAAACTTAAATAATCATAAATTAGCCTAAAATTGGCCCTAATTTAGCAACAATTCAGATACCAATCAATGCTGATCGACTTCAATCAGACAAGCAATTCAACCATAAATCAGCCTAAAATTAGCCTCAATTCAGTATCAATCTAGCAACAATTCAGATGTCAATCGATACCAATTGATTCCAATTGGATAAGAAATTTAACATCAATAATGCAATACATTTTATTTATTAAATTTATTAAATATTAAAATTTTATTAATAATAAAAACCTAATATAAATTTGCAAAAATATAAAAATATAATAAAAAAAGTATCACTAAAATCTACTGATTAATTTCCTATTAAAAATAGAATAATAAAATATGATCTATTTCCTTCCCAAATCCCCTTAAATCATCCTAAATATAGATAAATAAATAATATATAATAAAAATATAATCCATTCCTTCTGAAATCGCCTAAAAAATGTAAAAATAATAAATATAAAATGTAAAAATAGAAAAATCAACTCAAAATCACTTGAAAAACGTAATAAATAATAAAATCAACCTATTTTCATCCCAAATTGCCTGAAAAAAAATATAAAGAAAATAATAAAATCAACCTATTCCCACCCAAATCATCTAAAAAAAATAACGTAAAAAATAATAAAATCAATCTGTTCTCACCTAAATTGCCTAAAAAAATGTAAAGAAAATAATAAAATAATAATAAAATTGACTTATTCCACCCTAAATCACCTGAAAAAAACATAAAGATAATAATAAAAAATCGACATATTCTCCAAATTGCCCAAAAAAAACATAAAAAATAATTAATAAAATTGACCTGTTTCCATTTAAATCGCTTGAAAAAACGTAAAAAAATAATAAAATAATAATAAAATCAATTCGTTCTCACCTCAAATCATCTAAAAAAATGTAAAGATAATAATAAAAAATCGACCCATTTTCCAAATCACCCAAAAAAAAAGTAAAAAATAATTAATAAAATTAACCTGTTTCTACCTAAATCGCCTGAAAAAATATAAAGAAAATAATAAAATAATAATAAATCAACTTGTTCTCACCTCAAATCACTTGAAAAAAAATGTAAAAATAATAATAAAAATCAACCCATTCCTCAAATCGCCTTAAAAAAAGTAAAAAATAATTAATAAAATCGACCCACTCCTATTTTAAATCGTCCAAAAATTTATTGTTTACCATCGTTTATTACGGAATTATCTTCATTTTCTTCAATAGTGGATGAAATCCCCTTCTGACTTCAGTATATTCCTTAGTTTCAGTTACATATTCTTCTGCAGTTGTAACTCTTGATTTGATCTTAGTATTATAGATCATATTAGGTTGTGTTTTATATAACTATTTTAGAACATTGTAGAGATGTGACCAGTCATAATACTGCACATCATCATTGTATTTTCTCTTTTGTTAAATTTAAGATGATGATGTTGCAGTAACACAAGAATTGAGTACTTTTCTCAATAAATTTTTCAGCTAAAAGAAGAAAATAAGAAAGAATATTAGTGGAATATACTAAATAAATTCAAAATATGTTAAATTAAATAAAGAAAATAATAAACTTCAGCTGATTGCCAAGAATAGTCATATACAGTGATAACAGATCTTTGATGATTTTCTTTATCTATTTCACTGATTTCTGACAAATGGTATAGGCGATCGCTGAAAATTCAGAGTAAAATCATCTTTCATATTTTGCAATTCATTGATCATTTTCTTTAAACAAATACTTTGTGACCTTTACTTACTGAGCTGTTTTCTAATAAATAATAAATGATATTAAATTATTGATTCAAATAGACATAAATTCAGAATATATTCTATTTGCTTACTTTATATACTCGATTATTATTATGAATTCGTTATAGCTTTGAAGGGTCCTTTTTAAAGATGGCATCTCAATTAGTTACAATAGGTGACAAATAAGTATCACAATGTTACAACGAATTACAACATTATTAAAATTTAAGTTACAACAGCCCAATAAAAAATTTGATATAAAAATTCCATAAAAATATTAAGTTTTATAACGTATAACTTTTATGGAAAATCA